AAACGCTTATAACTTTGGGTGTGGTACACTTATTTTCACGGGAGTCATCTTTTTGAGTTCCTGAATCGTTGCCGAGTCCAACAATACTAAACATGCTGGGTTTCGTGTTACGGTTGGTGTAGCGTAGCGATTTAGCGCGAAAAAAACACTTGGCGATATCTTCAAAACCGCTGTTCCGATCGAGACGAAACCACCGCCAGAAACACGGAATCATAGCTTGTTAACTAAACGCTAATGCCCAAATGCGAAAATATTGATAGTAAGGGGTAGTAAAATTCAAACAAAGTCATGTGTCAGTCATTTTTTACGTGTTTTTTCATATAAATGTTTATAACTCGGAAGCGAATTGAGATATTTTCACCAAAATTGACACACATATGTATGGGGTCACTCTGAGGACACATAAAAAAAATTGTGGGACTGAGCCTCTTGGTGGCGCTATAATAGAACAAAACGTGAAATTCCCATTGACTTCAATAGAGTTTTGTGAAATAAAATGCTATACTAAACAAATGCATTGGTGTAATATTACAAAACTCAGTGTGTGCCATAAGCAGCATGCCCTGAAGGTACTCAAAAGATTTTGAGACAGCGCCACCTGTTGGTCAAAAGTTATAATTAATTTCTGAGAACGCTAATAACTTTTGAATAAATTTGCCTATTGCAATGAAACTGATCTTAATAGATTCCTTGGGTTATGCCGAAAAACATAGATATCAGGTTTTCCATAATCAGACAAAAACTTCCTGTTCCGCCATCTTTATTTCTTTGAAAAACCTTCTTTTTCGAACTCCTCCTAGACCGTTTGTCCGATTTTCACGAAAATTGAATCGTATCATCTCCAGACCGTGCCGACTAAAAGTTATGAATTGCACGATGATAGACAAAAACCGTTTTCGTATACCACAGCATCAAAATTTAGGCATGCTGCCAAAATTACTATTTAGGCTTTATCTCTGCAATGCCTTCACATTTTGACACCAAACTTTGCATGTGTCATTGTCACCTCACTCTGACCACATCATCATCTATTTCGTAACTGCGCCACCTATTGTTCGAAAGTGATAACCCATTAAATCATCTTATAAGTTAATGTTTATGTGATTTTCTTAGCCATTTGCCCAAAGTTCTCTCAAAATGCCCTTAATTGCTCCTTGCTGCAGTTGGTCTGCCACTCCTTGCCATTTTGGCATATGTTGCCGCTTCTTGCGCTTGGCCCGGTAATGGCTGCTTGCAGCTATATTTATTATTATTATTCTTCTTCCCGACTGGGCGTCTATGGCAGCCCATAGACCGGTTTGCGGGAAAGTTGTTTTGGTTTGACATTCTGATAGAGGACAGTCCCAACTTTAAATACACCAATTTTGGTGTCTCTAACTCATTCCCTCTAGCGCCACCAACTGTCCAAAGTTTCACTTTTATTATGCTAATAACTTTTGAACCGTAAGGCCTACTTCAACAAAATTCTTTTTTCCTCTTGTTCCTGAGCTCATGCCGATTCGATCGCACCCTATGACGTCATTTTCCGTCATAAAAAACGGCCGCCATTTTGAATTTTCCAAAAAACCTACTTTTGCGAACTCGTCCTAGACGGTTTGTCCGATTTTCACCAAAATCGCACCGGATCATCTCCAGGCAGTGCTGACAAAAAGTTATGGAATTCAAGATGATTTGATTAACGGTTTTTGATAAACGCACAAACAAATTTTACGTAACGCTTGCGAAAACAGATGTAAGGCTGTATCTCCGCAACGCTTCATCGTATTCAGACCAAACTTGGTACATGTAATCACAAGCATGACTTGAGGCTACATGCAGCGTTTCGGCGCAGCGCCACCTAGTGGTCCGGAGATATGAAAAATGGCTATTTTTGCTCGTAACTTATGAACGGTTTGTCCAAAAATCATAAACTTCATCTCGTTAGATTCAGGGCATCATGCCGAGTCGACTGATATCCAATTTTCCCAGATCGGCCATTTTGGCTGTCGGCCATTTTGAATTATGTGCTAAAATGCTGTATTTTTTGAACGCATGAACGAATTGTTACGAAACTCGGTATGGGTCATCAGTACGATGCCCTGAAGGAGCCTGAGAAGTTTCGAAACAGCGCCACCTAGTGGTGAATTTTTTTTTTCAAACGCTTATAACTTTGGGTGTGGTACACTTATTTTCACGGAGTCATATTTTTGAGGTCCTGAATCGTTGCCGAGTCCAACGATACTAAACATGCTGGGTTTCGTGTTACGGTTGGTGTAGCGTAGCGATTTAGCGCGAAAAAAAACACTTGGCGATATCTTCAAAACCGCTGTTCCGATCGAGACGAAACCACCGCCAGAAACACGGAATCATAGCTTGTTAACTATACGCTAATGCCCAAATGCGAAAATATTGATAGTAAGGGGTAGTAAAATTCAAACAAAAGTCATGTGTCAGTCATTTTTTACGTGTTTTTTCATATAAATGTTTATAACTCGGAAGTAAATTGAGATATTTCACCAAAATTGACACACATATGTATGGGGTCACTCTGAGGACACATAAAAAAAATTGTGGGACTGAGCCTCTTGGTGGCGCTATAATAGAACAAAACGTGAAATTCCCATTGACTTCAATACAGTTTTGTGAAATACAATGCTATACTAAACAAATGCATTGGTCTAAACATTACGAAACTCAGTGTGTGCCATAAGCAGCATGCCCTGAAGGTACTCAAAAGATTTTGAGACAGCGCCACCTGTTGGTCAAAAGTTATAATTAATTTCTGAGAACGCTAATAACTTTTGAATAAATTTGCCTATTGCAATGAAACTGATCTTAATAGATTCCTTGGGTTATGCTGAAAACATAGATATCAGGTTTTCCATAATCAGCAAAACTTCCTGTCCGCCATCTTTATTTCTTTGAAAAACCTTCTTTTTCGAACTCCTCCTAGACCGTTTGTCCGATTTTCACGAAAATTGAATCGTATCATCTCCAGACCGTGCCGACTAAAAGTTATGAATTGCACGATGATAGACAAAACCGTTTTCGTATACACACATCAAAGTTTAGGCATGCTGCCAAAATTACTATTTAGGCTTTATCTCTGCAATGCCTTCACATTTTGACACCAAACTTTGCATGTGTCATTGTCACCTCACTCTGACCACATCACATCTATTTCGTAACTGCGCCACCTATTGTTCGAAAGTGATAACCCATTAAATCATCTTATAAGTTAATGTTTATGTGATTTTCTTAGCCATTTGCCCAAAGTTCTCTCAAAATGCCCTTAATTGCTCCTTGCTGCAGTTGGTCTGCCACTCCTTGCCATTTTGGCATATGTTGCCGCTTCTTGCGCTTGCCCCGGTAATGGCTGCTTGCAGCTATTTTAGGGGCCAAGCACCGAGGTGCGGACATATGTATCTGTGCCGGTTCTTATTATTGCCAAGCTTGCAGGCCCTTTGTATCTGTCTTCTTATGGCGCTGCTATTGTATCTATTATTATTATTATTCTTCTTCCGGACTTTGCTATGGCAGCCCATAGACCGGTTTGCGGGAAAGTTGTTTTGGTTTGACATTCTGATAGAGGACAGTCCCAACTTTAAATACACCAATTTTGGTGTCTCTCTAACTCATTCCCTCTAGCGCCACCAACTGTCCAAGTTTCACTTTTATTATGCTAATAACTTTTGAACCGTAAGGCCTATCAACAAAATTCTTTTTTTCTTCTTGTTCCTGAGCTCATGCCGATTCGATCGCACCCTATGACGTCATTTTCCGTCATAAAAAACGGCCGCCATTTTGAATTTTCCAAAAAACCTACTTTTGCGAACTCGTCCTAGACGGTTTGTCCGATTTTCACCAAAATCGCACCGGATCATCTCCAGGCAGTGCTGACAAAAAGTTATGGAATTCAAGATGATTCGAATAACCGTTTTCGATAAACGCGTAAACAAATTTACGTAGCGCTTGCGAAAACAGACGTGAGGTTGTATCTCCGCAACGCTTACTCGTTTTCACACACCAAACTTGGTACGTGTTATCACAAGCATGACCTGAGGCTACGTGCTGCGTTTCGGCGCAGCGCCACCTAGTGGTCCGGAGATATGAAAAATGGCTATTTTTTGCTCGTAACTTCTGAACGGTTTGTCCAAAAATCATAAATTTGGTCTCGTTAGATTCAGGGCGTCATGCCGAGTCGACCGATATCCAATTTTCCCAGAACGGCCATTTTGGCTGTCGGCCATTTTGAATTATGTGCTAAAATGCTGTATTTTTTGAACGCATGAACGAATTGTTACGAAAACTCGGTATGGGTCATCAGTACGATGCCCTGAAGGAGCCTGAGAAGTTTCGAAACAGCGCCACCTAGTGGTGATTTTTTTTTTCAAACGCTTATAGCTTTGGGTGTGGTACACTTATTTTCACGGGAGTCATGTTTTTGAGTTCCTGAATCGTTGCCGAGTCCAACGATACTAAACATGCTGGGTTTCGTGTTACGGTTGGTGTAGCGTAGCG